CCTAAAAAATTTGTTGAATTATAGAATTGATTTGGTGCATTCTGACACATATTTTGGGGCAAACCATTTTTCTGTACATGAATGTACTGGTAGCTATGACAAGACACTTTTCTGTACATGAATGTACTGGTAGCTATCCAAGACACTTTTCTGTACATGAATGTACTGGTAGCTATGACAAGACACTTTTCTGTACATGAATGTACTGGTACCAAGGACAAAACACTTTTCTGTACATGAATGTAACTAGTACCAAGAAAAAGGCACTTTTCTGTACATGAATGTACTGGTAGCTATGACAAGACACTTTTCTTGACATGAATGTACTGGTAGCTATCCAAGACACTTTTCTGTACATGAATGTACTGGTACCAAGGACAAGACACTTTTCTGTACATGAATGTAACTAGTACCAAGAAAAAGGCACTTTTCTGTACATGAATGTACTGGTAGCTATGACAAGACACTTTTCTTGACATGAATGTACTGGTAGCTATGACAAGACACTTTTCTGTACATGAATGTACTGGTAGCTATGACAAGACACTTTTCTTGACATGAATGTACTGGTAGCTATGACAAGACACTTTTCTGTACATGAATGTACTGGTAGCTATGACAAGACACTTTTCTTGACATGAATGTACTGGTAGCTATGACAAGACACTTTTCTTGACATGAATGTACTGGTAGCTATGACAAGACACTTTTCTGTACATGAATGTACTGGTAGCTATCCAAGACACTTTTCTGTACATGAATGTACTGGTAGCTATGACAAGACACTTTTCTGTACATGAATGTAACTAGTAGCAATGAAAAAGGCACTTTTCTGTATATGAATGTACTGGTAGCTATGACAAGACACTTTTCTTGACATGAATGTACTGGTAGCTATGACAAGACACTTTTCTGTACATGAATGTACTGGTAGCTATGACAAGACACTTTTCTGACATGAATGTACTGGTAGCTATGACAAGACACTTTTCTGACATGAATGTACTGGTAGCTATCACAAGACACTTTTCTGTACATGAATGTACTGGTAGCTATCACAGACAAGATACCTGATAAATAAAACTTACCAAGAATACTAATTGAGGTGCCACAATTCCACCTATTCTAGCAAATGTTGAACAGGCTCCCACACCCAAATTTCTGGAATAATAAAGAAAAAAGATTCACTGGTGGGAAATGAAATGTGGCCCATATTTCTTAAGAAATTTTACAATAACCTGTCTTTTGTCAAATTACTTCAATTTTTATATTCAGAACATGAAAATATAGAATTTTCAGAGAAAAACTGCCAACTCTCGGAAGCACTGGCACAAGCATTATAATTTGTTTAACCAGAATAAACGAACTATATGCTACCCCATAACAAAAAAGATATCAGTAGATATGATGTGATAAATATCTTAGCCAGCCTACTTACCTAACAACAGTAGGGAATGTTTCAGCAGAAAATACCTGAACAGCTGCCCAGCCACCAGCAATACCAGATTTACCAATCATAGCTAGCACAAGTATCAATACTGGCATCGTTTCAGATTTTTCTACAAGAATAGGAAGAAATAAAATAAAAAAGATAGTTTTAACCCTTTTAAGAGGCCTAGAAGCCATCATCATTCCATGAACACCAAGCTGAAAATCTTTCACATACCTTGAGCGCCAAGTTTAAAATTTTTAAAAAATATAATAGGATGAACACTACACCTAAAAGTATTATCGACAATAAAAAAAATGAAAATTGGAATGGTGTAAATTGATGATATCAGTGTCCTCAATACACCTTAAAAATTTAGAAAACCTCTTTACAAGCCCTTTAAATAAGAGACTTTATACTTACCTAACAAATCTACTACCAAAATAGATAAACAAAATATACCAGCAATTATCATTAACATAGCTACAGTTTTCCTTCTACCTATTTTATTATTGACAGCTACCACTAATATTAAAGCAGGAATTTCAACTAATCCAGATATAAAGACATTCAAATAGCGATTTCCAGATAAATTTTTTGTATTGAAGTTTAAACCATAGTATACAGAACTAGACACAAACCTAAAATGATATATAATTTGGTTTTATAGTGATTATATCATTGAATAATGCCTTATGATGTCAAGGTATTAGACTGAGTTCGCAAAAACTTGATATTGTGAAGATGTCCTAACATGGTACTTAAGTCCCATTTTAAGGGTAAAACTGTTGAGACAAGCACTTCAAGTACTTACCAACTATACATTAATATCAATGTTCCTTTAGTTAACTTCCAGGAACTAAATAAATGCCAATAAGTATATTTTTTTGATTCTTGTCTTCTGATTTTTTCATTCTGAAATTGATAGGTAGAACCGTTTTGATTTTGATGACAATTTGAGTAACATGAATTATGAATGATTAAGACTCTTGGTAGTATTATCTATTCCTTGCCTTTCTAGCTGATGGCGCTCAATCACCTGTAGTACTTATTAGAATGAAAATCTGATATGTTGATTGTCTGCAATTTAAAGAAAATCATGAATATCTAACCATCATGCATTCTTTGAGTCTATCAAAATCAGGAACTGGTCTTTTATTACAGACTGCCATAGATTTCAACACTTGATCAGCTTCTTCTAATCTTCCTCTGTTTATCAACCAACGTGGGCTTTCTGGTATAAACCTAAATATAAATTTCAAATACTGCATTTTAAAGGACAGATGCGCCTTCAAATCTTTGTGTGTCCCGAATTATCCACGTTAGAAAGTTAAAAAGACAAATCGTCTTTTCTAGAAATAGGAAAACAAATTCTGAGATATTTTTGAAGGAATACTATATACTTTACTGTAGTACTTTCATATATTCAAGAGCCAAAGCAACTGCAAAAATGGCAAACCCATCCCTTTAAAACATTCTAAAATACAGGTCATATATGACACACAAAGCAGCTTTCATCAATCATAACTTGTCATCAATAATCATAATACAAATTTCCATCAATAATTTCACATATTTTCAAAACTTGCCCAAATTAAAAGACCAAATGTTACGACTTTCAAAATTAACAACTCTTCTTTACAAAAACAGTAATAAGTATAATGAACATACCACCATGTAAATAATAGGGGTATGCTAGCTAGAGATGTAGCCATTGTTAGATATCTCCAATCATGCATGAGGTATGCCCATAAAGCTAAACTAGCTAAACCCACAGCCCAGAATCCAATACAACCACAAAATGTTCTCCAAGCTGGTGTCACAAATTCTAATGGTAGAACAAAATTAACCACCAACGTACCTACAATGAAATTAAATACATAGAGATATATTAAAGATGTATTATAGAGATATATTAAAGATGTATTATAGAGATATATTAAAGATGTATTATAGAGATATATTAAAGATGTATTATAGAGATATATTAAAGATGTATTATAGAGGTATATTACAGATGTATTATAGAGATATATTAAAGATGTATTATAATATAACAAAGGATATATATTAACATAATGATATAGTATACAAGATATAAAATATATAAGTTATTAACATAATATATTATATAACACATATATAATATTCATATAATGTTGTAACTTGAGTAATACTCAACACAATAAAGGCATATAGCCCCC